TCGGGCTCACGTATTTTATACATTGCGCTTTAAAAGTAATAATTTGAAGACAATTTCTTAAAACCACTAAAATATTTTTTAAATTATGTGTTATAATACATATAGTGTAGCGCCAACGCAAATTTTTCAATTTTTATTTTCGGAAACATAGTTAAATCAACTTTTTAGAATGATTGAGCAATAATAATTCTGACACCCACCCATGGTGGTTTTGCATAACAAGTCGATGGATGTTTTTGATGATAATTGACTGAACGATCGCAGCCAGGTACGTCCGGTATATATGAAAATACCCAAAATTTAAATTTCCTATAACTTTCAAATAAGTCTGACCACCAAATTCAGACTTCAATATAATTTTCAATTAAAAACTAATGATTTCCGGCAATTAATTTTTGCAATATCGTTCTTAATTCGTTGTAACTTGTACTATCGCGATGGAGTGTTGTCCGACGATTTAATTTATTGGTTAAAACCGGTTTCTTTTAGGCGTAAATGACGTTATCACTGGAAGTAAAAAGAGTGTTTCAATTTGCCGTTCTTCGTGGTAATTCACTTTGATCGGGACCAAGAAGATAATGTGAAAATTCATAGACGCGCCAGCAAAATCTGACTTTGTTAGTACTTAGGTTTTAGAACTAAAATTTACTTTTGAAATTAAATATACTAATAAATTGTGCACGACAACATTTTTAGAAAAATTAAATAGTAAGTATGAAATATTATTTTATCGATCTTTAATGACTATGTAATGATTTTACAGCTAACAACAACTTCTTAGGTCTCGCAAACTTAACCTCACTCCGATAATTGGTCGCTCATCTGTAGTGGATAAGCCGAAATCTACCCCACCTCGCTGTCTGCAGATCAAGACCTATAAATTTGTCAATTCGAAAGAGGTGTTTACTAAATATTATTTGCTATATAAAATAACACGGTCTACATTTTATACTGGCAACTATAGATGCCTGTAAACAAAATGAAGACTTTTTTTCCATTTTAAATCGACGACACGACTCCGTGGGATCCCTTTTGCATTAATTCCGCAGTTTTAGCTATAACTAAAACGGATTCCAAGAATTTCACACACCTACTAAAACACGTATAAGGTTAAATAATATTTCAAATTAATAAAGATATGATTATCGGATATCAACTCGTTCCAAGTATTTGACACCCTCACAAACAAAAATGAACTCTGTTGTAGCTGAATTGCCTATACAATGCGCCGTGTTAAAATAATTTTGTATTTAATTTTTTTTCAAATATACTAAAACTATATTATTATATTATTAAAATTTATGATTTCCAGGAAAAATGATCAAAATGGCAAAAATAAAGAACAGTAACGTCTTAACCGTGCTGAGTGTGTTCATATATTTTTTAGATTTTTTGGTTATAGTATGAACTATTTATGAGAACCTTTGTGTTGAATTTGTAATCCTTAGCTATAAAAACTGAACATTTTATAATTTATTAATTACAATGATTGATAATTTTCAAGATTTTGATAAATTTTGTCAAAATTTGATCTTTAAATGCTTATAAAAAAAAACTGTGCCTATGTATTTTTAATATTTTTCAACTCCTATTGTAACAATATATCAGGAGCCTTGTATTAAATTTTTACACTTTTTGGCCCAACATATAAAACTTTATTGATATTTATAGAAAAAAAACTAAAAAAAATTGAAAGCTGTAAATGTCCATAAACAGCTCAAAAAGAGTCAAAATATTTTCAAAATTGTATGGTGTATAGAAAATGCTAATTTAAACATTCAGTGAAATTTTCATGTATCTACAGTTGTTCGTTTTTGAATTGCAACAAAATAAGGAAATCGCTACATGAGTAATCGAGTGAATATCCAATGTGTAAAAATTTGAATTTCAAACGCTCATAAAAATTTAATTTGACTGTCCGGTAGAGATTTTTTTATTGATAAAGGTAGATAATCTTATAAGGAATCTTGTGTTTCATTTTCAAATCTTAGATTTAAAAAGGAAAATTTTTACGAATTCTTAACTCAAAATAATTTGCTAATTTTCGTGATTTTTCCATATTTTGTCAATTTTTGAACTTTAAATGCTTATAAAAAAAAATTGTGACTAAGGATTTTTAATATTTTTCATCTGCCTTTGAAACAATATATTAGGAGCCTTCTATTAAATTTTCAAGCTTTTGCAACCAACAAATAAAATTTTATTGATATTTTTAGAAAAAAAACTAAAAAAAATGGAAAATGAAAATGTCCCTAAACAGTTCAAAATAAATCAAAATATTTTGAAAATGTTATAGTGTATAGAAAATGCAAATATAAACAACCAGTGAAAATTTCATGTATATACGTTCATTTGTTTTAGAGTTACACCAATAACCAAAATCGATTTTTTGGAAAACCAATTTTGCGTAAAAATTCCCGTTTTTCCTTAATTTTTATGTTGTTTTTCCCGGCGCTTGTGAAAACTACTGGGAAATTTATACTTTTGACCCCCCAAAGTACCAACTAGATTCACTTTCCTATCATAAAAGCTACTGATGAAGAAAATCCAAGCACTTTTACTGTCCTAAAACGTGATGACAGACACAAAAAAAAATAAACTATAAAAAAATATAAAAACACACATCATTGTAAAACCAATACATTCTTCGCTCCGCTCAGAATCTAAAACTAATAAAATAGGAAACTGCAAATGTAACTAAACAGTTAAAAACATATCATAATATTTTGAAAATTTTATCATGTATAGAAAATGCAAATATAAACAAGCAGTGAAAATTTCATGTATATACGATCATTTGTTTTAGAGTTACACCAAAAACCAAATTTTGGGGTTCAAACCTCTTCCCCGCCCCGAAAATTAATATAACGCGTAATTTATTAATTATTTATATCCATCATCTATGAACCTCCTCTTTTTTTTGTGTATGTGCCTGACTAATGGAACGAATTATTTTTTATCGACATATATAAAAAACAAATTAAATTAAATCGAAGACGATTTTAAGAAGTTCTAACTTTTTTAATTAACCTTACCAAGTTATTTTAATAATAATATTAAAATTTTAAGAAATGTTCGTATTTTTGAATTCTCGATTATTTTAAAATGTACTAAACATTTTCAATTTTGCATTCCAAAAGTAACAACTATAGTTCCAATATGATATACCAGAAACCTTCGTAGAAGTTGGTGATCAGAATATTTTTTCAGTTATGTTTTCAGATACAAAAACAAATACACATCATTATTGTAAAATGAATATATTAATCGCTATTATGCTCAGAATCTAACATAAATATTGAAATATACCTGAATAAGAAAAAAAATGTTGACTATAATTTGTTAGTAAATATAATTTAATATTTACTCAGTACTCTCTATAATAATATCATTCATGCAATTTAACCCAAGATTATTGTTAGTACTTTGGTTCCTAATTGTTTTGCTTACAACACTTTCTTTTAGTAAAAACAAAAGACAATTAAACTTAAATAGTATTTTACGTATAACTTGCAAAAATATCTAACTGGGTTTGTAATACGTTGTTAGTAATAGTAACTTAGTTTCTTTTTTAAAGTTTTTAATAATTTGTAAGTTGTAACTGATTTTTCCATATGTGGTGTTCTTTATTGATTTCGACAGATAAATCATTTAATTAAAATGTATATTAATACAGGTTGGAATGTTAATTTTTCATCACATCATATTATATTTTATTCTTATGTAAGTTCCAGACTTTTTTCAGTACCTAGGCATTTTATGCTTAAGACTTTTTAGTAGTCTAAAGACTCTGCCAATTACAGTTTAACCAACAAATACAAATCCCACGAGTATATATATATATCGACACAAAAATTTAATATTAAGATAAAACATAACTAACAAATATGTTGTAAATATATAATAGTGCAAAAACCACTTATTCCATAACTATGTAATCTTAATTTACAACCTAATTATCCAATAATAATAATGTAACCACAACCACAGGCTAATGGCCTAGCTGTTGAAGCCTTTATTCAGAATAAAAAATATATATATACATTATACATATAGAGGTTGATTCAACATGTATGCCACCAGTTTTTTTTTTATTCAAAATCGGATTTTTCAAATTTATATACATACTTGGCTTAAGTACTTAAAGACTAGATATTCAAATTCTTGAGAACTGTTGTACTACTTAAGGAGTGCTGTATGGAGATGCAAACTTTGGTTTTCTAAGTAAATTATATTTATAGCTTATAATTTTTTGGAAAATGTTGAGGTATTAAAATAAAAATTTAAACAAATAGTTTTTGGGTCATTTAATTTTGCTTTGGCATACCAAGGATAATTTAGGTCTATGATAATGGGTTTAGAACGTATAGGGGCTTTGGTGAATTAAAAATGTTAATTACTAATTTACATCAATTTATCAACATCATAATTATTTGAAAACATTTTTAAAGTATAAATAAACACTAGATTCAATATTGCATTTACTTTATATTTTTGTAAAACCTTTGCTGAAGACTTTTATCCTTAGTATGATCATTTTAATAACTGAAAAACTACTTAATTAAATTAGGAACATCATCATTTTTAAAAAAATTATAATTTACAAAAAAGGGTGGGAGAAGTGGAAAGTAGGAGTTTGTATTACCACGAGACACTCCTTAAGTTGTATAAAAAATCTCAAGAATTTAAATTAATTTATTATTAAATGAAAAATGAGGGTTTGCATGTTTGGTAAAACATCCTGTATAAAAGTCAACAGAAGAGAAGTAACAATAGTATAATTGATTCTTATGGTAAATATTATAATTTATTAATACCATAAAAGATAACACATGAAAACAAAACAAATTTTTGTTAATTATTAGGTATACTTTGTAGTTTGTACTGTTACAAAAATTAAAATTGGCCTGTTATAATTATATGTGTTGAATAGCACTAAAAATTAGTAAAACGATTATTTATTTTAGCCAGTTTAATCAATTATTATTATCATTCAGTTATTAGCTTTTGTCGTCATCATCATCATCATCAGACCACCATATCAGCGAATCGTTCATTTTAATATTCATAGGTTTTATATTACTTATTGAATTTAAATGTGTTTTAGGTGTTTCTAATACCTTAAGGGTTAAAGTTGATTTATTATCTTGTTGACGACCCGTGTTTTTCTTGAATTTGGACATTCTTGTTACAACAAAATCGTTACACTGTTTTATTTCTGCCATGGTGAAATTATTATTATCAGAACTCGCTGATTGCAAAGAAGAGTTGCTCTTATTCATTAAAGAGTTATTAGAAGAGTAAACTTTTTGTTTTACTATTGGAGTAATACAATTATTTTGTGATTTTGTAATTTTTATTTCTGAGTCATTGCTAAAGCAAATATTTTCAGAGTAGTTAGAGGTGGAGGAAAATTCATTGGCAGAATTATATGACGAATTTGTATTTGAATCATCGATAAAACTTAAGTCACAGGAACTTGAAACTAGACTACTATCTAAAAATACCATTTTACTTGGCTCCCTTGGTATAAAAATATTTTTCTAAAGAAATAAAAACAAAAATTAGAATTCATAAATAATATACAATTAAAATTTTAACTCACTAAATAGTTCATTTCCATTGGATTGAAATTTGAATATTGATGTTTTTTGTATAGTGGTATGTCTAAATAAAGAATGCATTTAATTTAATTAGTTAACATTTTACAAGTGTAAAAATGTTATTAGATTACCTTCAAACATTTTTTTTGTGCGTACATTTTTTAATAACTTTTTTAATGGTAAATAAAATTCATTAAAGTATAATTTTAATTCGCCTGAGTAAACATTATCTTCAACAGTTTGAGGAGTAAAACTGAAACTTAATTCACCATACTGATTTTTCTTTATCAAGATAGTAATTGCAGTTTTTAAATCATCATCATCCAAACAAAGATTTATATCAATAGTGTAAGTTGGCAGTATAAGCTGCAATAATTTGGGCGGACATGTTCTCAATTCAAACATGGTGTCTTTGTCAGTAAATCTCTAAATACCAAAGTATATAAAAATCTATAACATAATAAATATTTACTGACAAAATATACAATACCTGAGAGTCAATTAAATAAACTTCAGGACGCAAATTATTAGAATTAGGACAATTTGATATGATACCACGCTTCCAAACCCTGGGGTCTTTGTCATCTTGAACAATTACAACCTGCAAATAAAAAAATGTGTTATTGTTACATTTCAAATATATATGTTTATTAGCAGTAGGTATGTATTACAAAACTATTAACCTTTCCAGTTTCAATAATAGGATAATCAAATCGTTCAAACCACTCGGTACAATCATTAAAAAGTGAAAGTTGTTCATAATAGTGATGAAAGTATCCTGTTGAACCACTATTAAATCGTTCAACAACGACAAATAATCCACGTTCTTTGTCAATTTGGCTAATTATATTTACACTGTATGTTGTGTTTAACTCCATTTTATGTTAATAAGTTGTAGTTACTCTAAAAATTAATAATAATAAATTATGAAGTTTTAAAATCTCATTACCTATGTAAAATAAATTCATTTTATTTTTGTATTTTCAGTTACGTACATATCATATACGTTTATATCAAATTACGATGATGGCCTTAATTCTAAGTCTAATATCTCAAATGAGACAACTCCAAGATCTAAGCATGTTCTCACTTTGCAGTTCTGATCATCAGAAGTTCCTTCAGTCGTTAACGGTTAGCTGTTAGTTAATGATCACAGACCAGACCCCAAACACATGAAACTATATTCCATATTTCCATAGATGATTGACAACAGTAAACAGTTTAACAGTATAATATTAAAATGGGTATTGAATGCTTGAACTTCGAAGCCGTTTCTGGAGGTTTGGTCATTAACTTATTTTGTAGTTTAGTGATAATAGATAATGCAAAGATAAAGTGGCAAGATAAAGCACAGACTTCTAAACTACACTAGATAAGGAACTCTTATACAATTTACATTGTTACAAGTGAAGCTCAGCTGTGAACGGCCGCCATTTTGTCGGTTGGCAAAACATTTCATTTATTAATTATTATACAAAATGTATTAGGAATAATATTTTTTTTAACGGTCAAATAAAATAGTAAATGTAAAATGACTTATATAAAAAATTTTTTATATTTTGTAACCTAAATGTTTAGAAATAATAAAATACGATATAAAATAAATCATAATATCATCTTATTTTTCATATGAAATACCATACAATTGCCAACCGACCTTGAAGCTTCAATTCATGGCGGGAGTTCGCTATCTAGTACTATATAGAAATCTGTGAGATAAAGGCAAGTGGATATTGTTCTGCGATAAAATAATGTATCCACTACGGTGATTCAGTTGTCCACGATTGGATAATATATTACATATATTATCTTAATTCGTTATATCCACTTTGAACAAACTATAAACTTGGATAAAGGTTTCCTTTATCTCAAGTTTAATGTTGTGGTTACAGATATATACAATAAACTAGATTGATAACTATAGCCGTAATCGTATAGAGTAAAGTCGTATATTTCCACAGATATACAAACTACAGACTACAGTATACTAATAATATACTATACATATTAATTAAAGCAATTTCAATAGGCAAAACACGTTCTTCAGTTCACACTTCAGTACTTCACAGACTTCAAAGTTCAAAATTCAAACACGCGACCACGGTCTTAGAAGATTTCTTCTAAGACCGTGCACGCGACTCTTGACATGCTAGGACGCTAGGTCATGACCACGGAGGCACGGACCGATTTCAACAACACCGTTATCACTTATCACTTATCATGATTAAAGTTAACCGGAGTTACCCGACAGCACGGACTAAGATATAATCATAGAATACTTAGTGGTTTATCGTTTTTAGATCATACAGTGGATTATACTTACTATGGTTTTCAAAACTGAAATATATGATGTACCACATACAAGAAACTATTGTTAACAAATAATCAAATGACAAAATCATTTGTAGTGAAATGAAGAGATTCCAAAAATATCCTTTTGCAATATTGAATTGGTTGGAAAATCCATGTCTGAAGATACAGATTACGAATTGATTTTAGAACTCATATATTACATTTGTAACAATAAAGATGATGGTGCAATACTTGTGTTTCTTTTTGGATGGGATCAAATATCAAAACTGACTAAAATTTTAAAAGACTAAGGCTTTGGAAATACATGTAAAGTATATTGTATAAATGTAGAGTTTCATAAAAATGTTGATATCTGTTTATAAGTATATTTTTTTTTATTTTGTAGCTGGGTACATACTGATTCTTTTGCATTCCATGTCACCTACTGTATCTCAAAAATCTGTTTTTGAATCGGGGTAAGCATTAAATATTAAAATTCTTTAAACGCATTTTTGTCTAATGTTAGCATTATAATAGGTTTTCGTAAGATCATATTATCCACAAACATAGCAGAGACTTCAGTTACCATAGACGATGCAGTTTATGTTATTAATAATGACCGGAAGAAATTAAAAGGATTCGATGCAGAAAATAACATTGGACCTCTTAATGAAGAATGGGTTACCTTAGCTAATTGTGGACAATTTCGCATGATTTGCATGAACAGGTTTTATATTAATTTTTAAATAGATAGTTTCCAAGTATTAATATATTATTATATTTTAGGTTGATGCATCTTTATGAGCAGAGGAATTAGTTGAGTTTCTGGGTTAACAGAAATTGAATTTGAAATTAGAATTGGAGAAAGCAGTGACTAGAAGCGATACAAGATATTAATGATCAACTCCGAGAAGATATTACAGAGTTGGAAATGCAATTACGTAAAGAATTAGATATGGCAAATGCTAATATTAGAGAGGTTTTAAATAGTATTAATAGCAAACATTTTATTTTTATTTATACCTAAGTCATATTTATTTTAAAGTGTGTCAAAGGAAAAGGACAAGCATTGGAAAGTTTAGCTGATCGGAATTTGGTTATTGTAAAATTTAAAGGTCTGGTTAATAAGAGAACTAAATCAAGATCTACAAACTCAATTAATGGGAGAATCTGCTACAAAAGATGAAGTTCGGTCATCAATACCAGAAATGCTTGACTTTAAGGTTAACTATAAATTAAAATATTTATTACATGGAAAAATAGTTAAAAATGTATTATTTATTAGAAAATGTTTGTTTTATATTAATTGGATGAAACACAACAGCAATTAAAAAGAAAGTAAAAATAATAAGAAGAAACGATGGACCATTTGCAAGCAGATATTGGTTCACTAGAAACAGAAAAAGGAGAATTAAAAAATAAACTTTAACATTTCTCAAAAAAAATTCTTATTGAGGGTATTTACAAGTGAGTTACCTATATTTTTAAGCTGTAATTAAAATATAGTTCTTAAATTTGAAAACATGAAATAAAATAAAACTTTAATACAATGCTCCTGATAAATTGTTACAATAGCAGTTGAAAAATATTAAAAATACACAAGCACAGTTTATTTTTATAGTCATTTTAAGTTCATTTTTGGATGAAATTACATATTAAAAAACCTAGCATTTAGTTATTTTGTTGTGATTGCATAATATTATTCGTGGGTACCTACTTGAAACTTCTAAAGGGTACTATTTTGTATCTATGATAGTATCACGGTTTTTTGTTGATGTATAACGCATTATCAGTACTTATTGGATATTGTGATGTGATTCATTTTTAATTTATTATAGGTACCTATTATAGGTCAATATTTTTTAAAATACCATGGATATGTCTTAAACTTAGACTGACATACCATCTCCGCTCAGAATCGTTTTTCTTATACAATGATATTATATCATTGAATTCAAATTTAATACCATCGATTATACAGTGATCCACTTGTAACCTACTGTATAGCAGAGCATTTTTTTTGGCTTGTATTAATTTTTAAATAGTTAAACTATGCTTAAAAATTGTTTTGTTTTTGTATTCCTGGCTTACTTCAAGACTCTAGAGATTCACAAAATGATATTTCAAGTATTAATGAGTTACAAGATTTTATGGACCCTAAAAGTCACCTCAGAAAGTACATACTCACATCTCTTATGGTTTAATTGATGAAAATTCAACAAACATGTCAAGGTAATGTTACACTACAGTAATAATTTATTTTAATTAAACATAGTTCCAATTTAAGCTAAAATAATTCTACCAGTGCCTAGCTATAATTTTTGCTATAAAATCATGTATTTTTTGTTTTTTGTTATGTTTTTATGAGTAGTATACTTCAATATGATAATGACAATATGAGATACACAAAACAAAATCATTTCTTAATATAAGTATCAGATAAATATATAATTATTGAAAGCCTGCATGTATTAATAACAAATTAATAACGGAGTAGGAACTAGAAACATCTTAATGTTTTATGTTTATACATTAAATGTACTAAATATATAATACTAATTTTCACTGAACAATTTATTTTTGTATATTATGTTATAATATTGTACTATGTTTTACTATTTTATTAATTTTTATATTAACCTTATGGAAATAGACTAAAAGTGTATTTCATAAATGCAAACATGTTGCACAGAGTGCATGCTATACCTAAGAATACCCAAATTACATTTAAAAATCTATGTCTTTTAGTAATTATAATATAAGATAGTAAATACACCAAAATGTAATTTAATAACAAAATTAAAATAATTTGTCATGTTTTAGATTAGTTGAATAATCATCTTGTGAAGAATTACCATCAGAAAAGGCACCAACCAAAATGGATAATAAGTTTACCAGAAAAAAACAAAGAAATCCCAAAAATTGGAACACAATTTAATTAACGCTATATTATATACGTAAGACTTGCTAAAAAATTTAACTACAGTAAAAACTCCTATAAAAACAAAGATAATTTTCTTACCATCAAGTTTCATTCACTCTAAATTTAAACTAACAAAGTCAAACGTGATCTGCTGACCTTAAATGTGCTGTTATTTAATTGTAAGACGGAGACAACAAATGCCCGTGTTACATCCTCTTAATTATTAAAACTGGCAGTTCAAATAATTTGATTGAAACACACATCCCACTCCTTCCAAATGAACACCCTTTCCAATGACTGTTAAACTAATTAAACTAACTTACTAATTAAATGTACATAATTTAATGACATTCCTGTGTTTAGTAAAATTATAGCAGAAGGACTCAGAAGGACTATTATTTCACCCACCTACCCACCCAACTTTCAAGGCAGTAATTAAATTGAACTAGAAATCAAAATTGAAAAAGGTTTTAATTTGTAAAATATTTTGATTATTATATTGCAACAAATATTTCATCAGTCATTACTATAATATTGTTATTTCATAAATAAAAATAAGTGTATTAACTTACAGGCAAAGGTTTTATTTGAGAAAATATTTGTTCACAATAATTATTTTCAAGCTTGGCTCTTTGATCTATTTCATGTTTTAGTGCCATTTTG